TGCTGGTGCTGGTGCTGGTCGTCGTGGCAGTCGCGGTAGTCGTGGTCGGGGTCGTCGTGTCGTGGTCGCTGTCGGGATGGTGGAAGTGGGGTGGTGTTCGTGCTGGTCGTGCTGTTGCTGTTGCTGCTGTTGTAGTTGGTGTTGGTGTTGCTGTGATTGTTGTAGCAATTGCAACAGCAGAGGTAGTAAGAGGAGGAGCAGCAACAGCAGCGTGTTTCATGCACCCTGCCTCAGCCAGGTCAGCAGACAACGAACGTGCCCTTCCGCAGACAAAACATGTAGGAGCTACTGCTGGTCGATCTACTAGTCATCTGAAACTAACTTCAACATCAAGGCCGAATTCTACTGCTCGCCTCCTGCTCTTGCTTCTGCTAGCACTAGAGATGATGGAACAAAGCTCATGTCACATGTCAAAGTCTAGTACTGGGTACCAAGCCCTGCACCATCCCCAGCAGAGGATCCAACAGAAAATGCTGGGGAGAAGCACCCGCTTCTAAGGATGCAGCCAGGGCCCTAGAGTCTAGAATGCTCAGGGCTTACGTTTTAGGAATCTCCTCAATGCGTCGGTGAATGGTTGACAGTAGCTTCTCTACATCTCACTGGCGTATGTTCTCCTGGTAGACGATGAGATGGCGACAAAGCTGTTCGCAGCTGTTGCATTCTCAGTGAATACAACTGAATTATGAGCAAAGACTTACAACAACGCCCAATCTGCCGAACGTTGCAGATTCCGCAATGGGGCCTCTCGGATTCGAATCAATCCGGAGTTGTGGTGTTTAGGTCCGAGCCTAAACAAGCCATGACCCAAGCGCCCGTGTTCCCTAATACCGTCCACCCCCCCCTGCCCTGCCACGCACCTCGAGGCACGGGGCATCATCGATAGCTCCTGCAGGGTCTCCGCCCGCTGTGCGCTGGAGCCTTCTCGCTTGAGCAAATCCGCGGCAAGGCCATGCACCTGATCGATTTTGCAGGCTTGGGAGAGGGAGGGACAGGGAAGGGGGGTGGGGGTATGACTTAATGACTTAGGGTCCAGGGCCAGGCCGGGGGGAAGGGGCTTCGGAGAGCGTACCTTTTGCGAGTTGAGTGTAAAGTCTCCTCTAGAGCCCAGAGCATGTTCCTTACGAGATGCTAAGTAGGAACAGCTGCTTGCAAATGCTCTGAAAGAAGATCCATGCAGAATGTGCGGACAAATCAACGCCTTGCAATAACATCCGGCTCAGAAAGATATGTATAGGAGTTTAACACAACAGGGGACCCTCACAAAGAACCCTGAATAGTGTAGGATGAGAAACGTAAAAGGCCCCTCAAAAAGCCGCTGATAAGCGAGCCTCATTACAGGAAACCCCATGTACGAGTAGGTCGGCATACCTCCCCTTGTCGGGAAGCCGAGGTGGAAAAAGCAAGTCGGCAATGTGTCTACACTATCTGGCACTGCTTGACTAGCCGGCAAGAAACATCGTCCGAGCGAAACTGCAGTTGAGTACCGATGAATGCAGGCCGGGAAACGAGAAACAGGAAAGAAGCCATCTCCGATCGTGCGCTGGCAAACCTGGCAAAGGCTTCCAGTACAGACTTTAGGGCTAGGCCCAGGCTTGACCCACAACGTGCTGTTCGCTCGGCGCACGTCTCCCCTCGCTCGAGCTTGGAGGCATCACTACGGCTTTGGAACTGCTTCAGAAGCAGCAGCTCCTTCAGAGCATGAGACGCTGAAATGCACGTTTCAGTCACTCTGATCTGCGCTCCTGCGCTGCCGCGCTACCTTGGCCAGAGAATAGCGAAGCTGCAGGACAGATGCAAAAAGCTGTGGCCGGGCTCGACACTGTTCCTCAAAGCAGTCTCTGCCGCCTCAGAGTGTCTGAGCAATGACATTTTCAGTCTAGCGTTTGACGGACACATCTCAAGCCTCAGCAATTAGTCATGAATGGCTGGTGACCAGAAGCCCGTGTCTCGAGTGCGCAAGTCTTTCGCAGACATTCCCCTCCTGCCACTGTGCCCGCGCGCCTCGCGGAGCCGTTTCCTGACGTCATGCATCGTGGACAGCTACACGTAGTGGGGTTTACATGCAACTGCCGACTCATCGACGAGCATTTGTCAAAGAAACGAGTAGCATCATCCCTGAGACTCGAGCTCATGAAAAGACTGCCTCCAGTCAGAAACCCGAGACCCGACAGCTTGGACATCAACACGTCAAACCTTACACCCTAAAAGACGGCAAGGCAGGAATATAGGGGCGTTAACGAATAGAATAGGGTTTTGGGATACATTATACTATACTTATAAAAAAGGAACCCCTTCTACCATAGGTAATTTTTATAAGGCCCCTCAACCCTAAACCCTAAAGCCCCTCTATTTTTCAGAGCGCTCCTGTGCACGTCGTTCGCCGCCCATCCTGCACCGGTCGTCTGGAGCCCTGCCTTGGCAGAGACTCGCCAGGGCTCTGGCTTTGGGGTCCCTTTTTTAGGGTTCCTTAAGGGGATCTATAGGGTCCCTTTGAGGCTTCTTAAACGGGGTTCCTAAAGGGATCTATGAGGAGGTTTCTAGAGGGGTTTCTAGAAGAGTTTCTAGACAGGTTTCCAGAAGGGATTTAAAAGGGTTCGACAAGAGTAGTTCTCTAAATTAGGGTCGTGTTTTACTAGTTTGGGGCCCAAAAGGGACCCTCAAGCATGGGACCTTTGGGCAACATGATTCGGTTTAGTTTGTGTGGGGGGAGGGGCTATGTAGCCCCAACTACACATAGACATGCCAGGCGATTTCTGACCATACCTCTGGGCCCCGGTGTTGTTCAGTCACATCCTCCCCGAATGATCAAGACGCCGAAGATGGTGATGGTGATGGTGATGGTGATGATGGTGATGATGATGATGCTGATGACGACGACGACGACGATGATGATGATGATGATGATGATGATGTTGATAGCTCCCGTCATACAAGGATCAGGATGATGTCAACGATGTGATGGCGATGGCCATGACGATGCTGATGATGATGATGATGACCACGTTGACGAAACTGGCCTGTTGGAAGTTGGTGCGGCCGAAGTCTCGCAGCAAGGCCTCAGCTAATATGTTCATCTAATATACGGTCCAGATGGATCTGCTTTTAGGGCCGGGGATTTCAGGGTTTAGCGGCGTCTGAAAACTCAAAAACTCTGGGCGGTTTAAAGGGAAGAAGCATGCTGCGTTCACTAAGTCACTTCCTTCACAGTGTCTTTTGCGACATGCTTCAAACCAAGATTTCGATGAGTTTGAAAGGTACACAAAGGCAGGAATTCAACTACGTGAGGGCAGGATCTCAGAGCAAAGAGCTTCCAAGCCCAGTCTACGCTGTGACCGCGGCTGCTGCTCCATCAGCAACTCGCATGATAGCCGGCTCTGCAGCGCTTCGAACCTCAGTGTCCGTAAAGATGCTCCAGAATGCCACGTTTTGGTATCATAGTTTGTGCCAGTCTTGCTATTCTTGCCAGTCTTCTAGCATCTTGTCGCGTGTTTTCACCGAGCGACAGCACACACGAGCATCAGGATTGTCGTCCGCTGGCATTCTTGCTGCTCAACAGCAGGGCTGTTGTGCTCTGTGATGCTAACGACCTTGACGACTTGCTTGGCCGTGCTGTCCTCTACTGAAAGTAGCCCGGCCGCGGGGAACCTTTTGCGCAAAGCTGCACACGAGACAAGACAGGCAGCAGGTTTGAGAACGTACTCCTCTGCTTAGGGGAAATGTTGCTTCACCCCTCGTGGTCGGAAGTGGCCGAAGACCGTCAACCCTAAATCCAGAAACCTGAATCGATTGACACCAACTGCCGAGGCACTAAATCTGCTTCCAGGCCGGCTTCTGCGCCGTGGGGCCTGCTGATTCAAAGCACAAAAGGCCGTCTGAAACATTTGGTTCAGAAGATGTACTTGATTTCGTACTGTTTAGATACACAAAAAACTCAATGCATGTTGCACATATGTATGAGCACACACATGTGTGTGTATACATAAAAAAATATATACACACATATATATATATATGTATGTAGTATGTATGTATGTATGTATGTATGTATGTATGTATGTATGTATGTATGTATGTACGTATGTATGTATGCATGTATGTATGTATGTATGTATGGGCTATACGTGTATACCTGAACAGATACATAAACAAACGTGCTCTCTATATGGCAAGCTGCTGTCTTGAATTGGCTAGGTCCCAAGACGCAGGCATGCTAAGCACCACCATCTTACAACCAGAACCGCCTGTGCTGTCCTCACGTCGATGATAAATGGGGGTTCCGAAAATAGGGGACCCTAATATAGTACCCTAAAGGATCCATATTATAAGGACCCCCAAAATAAGGTACCCCTCTTTTCGGAAACTCCCAAGTGCTTGCATGCCAGGACCCGAACCCCAAACCCGGAAACACTGAGCCGTCGGCATCCACCCGAAATAATCTTTAACCAAAACCTCCGGGAACCCCAAAGACCCAAAGCCTAAATCCGTAAACCTCAAACCACGAAACCCTAGACCTACAATCTTGAACCTCTCAACCCCGAATCCAAGAAAAAAGGCCTCGCCTCGCAGCCAGTTCGCAAAGCAAACAGCAAATGTCAAGCGTCTCTTCCTCGGTCTACAGTAGGCACTGAGAAGAGAACGGTCTCTTTGAAATCTTGGGGTCTTAGAGTGTTGGGGTCTGAGGCGTTAGGGCGTTAAGTTCGTATAGGGTTCAGGGTTGTAGTGCTTTCGGGTTTCGGGCTGCAGCGCTTCGGGTTGCACAAGCTTCGTGATACTTCGCTTCATGAAGGTCAGTGTAGGAAAGCCGTGGTAGTAAGACATGGTATGGTTGGTCTTGTGGTCCAGGTCCGAGCACAACAACTTCTCAAAGAATCTTATCTCTTCAGCTCTGCTATGCAAGCATTGCGCATCCTCCATATATACAGCCCTGGCTCTAGCTCACAGATGCTCACACCATGATGTCTCATCTCAGTTCCGGCCACCCTGAGAGCGATGCGGCAGATGCGAAAGCAGCTTCCTGGTGCAGTCGCCTCCTGACATATGGAGGATCTGGGCTTTGGGACTTTTGTCTTCTGTCTCAGGGCATAATTAAATCTGAAGCTTTGGCTATCTTTAGCTGCTAACATAATACAATGCTGCAGTACACAGGTATGTACATGCATACACTGTCATGCTACGTCTAATGATTCTTTCGCATCGATCTACATGGTGCACGTCACCCAGTGTTACTCCTGCATGTCGTATACAACTTTCAGTCATTCAACAGCAGATCTTCTTGAATTTTCTGCCGTTGGCCTGGCCATGTGCAGGCGCCCGGTGGGGTGGAGCATCTGCGCCGCGGCAAGAGGCCAGTACTCTGCCGTGGCCTTAGCCTCCGCCAGCCTGAAAGGCTCGAGAACCACGCTGCCGGAGAACTGTGCTTCAAGACAACAGACCGCAGCAAGAAGCAGGACAATCCAAGCGGCGAAAAGGCAGCAGCATAAGGCTCTGCACAGGTGTTTCTGCATGCGCATAAAGATATATATATATATATATACATATATGTACACACATACATATATATATATATATATATAAAGGTGTACATTACATGCAATGACAGCAAGTACTGCATAACACAGTATCGAACTATAACCGTATAGAATGCGCGCGAAATGATGAAGCCTCTACCAGAACAGACAGATGTGACCTGTAGATAACTTGTCTAACACACTTTACTTCTTCTTCTTCACGGCCTGAATTTCAATGCAACTCGCACGGAATTTTGCAGTCTCTTGCATGGACGATGCTAGTTGCAAGACGAAGCAGCACATGACAGAACAAACTCGGGCAATGTAAGAAGATATAACACGACGCATCGCAAACACAACATTTTTTTCTCGAACTGCCCTGTCGTGTGCCATGCTCACACCGAGCTTTCATAGTTTGTTCAGGGAGCCTACGACTGCTGATATCACAGTCACAACCCTAGGCAAGGCCGCAAGACAAACATCACCCAGAAGGTCTATGCTACAAGCTCTTTTCACACCATGCGACAATACAAGAAAGACATCACAAAACTCGACCGCAACTGCACAGCATGTGGACGGGCAACTGTGTATAGAATGCCTGACAAACACTCAGAAGCCGCTCTATGTACATGTACAGCTTTCTATACATTATGTATATATGTACATAGGGGGGCAGACCGAGAGCGAGGGCATATCGTTTGCAATCACCTATGTACTCAGCACCACACATCTCACGCCCCGTGTGGCAATCTATCAAACTACTTTGACGGCATGAAACCATATCATACCAGATCTCGTGGCATACAAATTATGTTGCATGGGGCAGGCGAGCGCATGAAAACCCCTAAAAGTGAAAATGATGAGGGCAACATATGTATGAGAAATATCAAGCGCTAACTATGCTGGCCTCTCCCAAAGCTCACGTAGGCGCTGCTGCGCAATGGCCCGCCAGGCATCACCAGCACCTCGAGAGCACTTTCAGATTCCGTGCAAGGTCTGTTCGCCGTCTGGGAGCACCTGTCCCCAAAAAAGCCACCGTGGCTTCGGTGATGACCTGCGCTAAAGCGCGAGAAGTTCCTTTCGTTCCTTCCACATGAGGCTGCTTTGCCTCAGCACAGCCGTCTGCAACGTCGCTGAAAGCAGCAGCCGCGCTCTTCATTGCTCGGGGGTCCTGAATTCCTGGCCGCGGTTTCGTGTCCTCTCCGTCCATTTTCGTCTGAGTTCCCGCGCCTGGTAGGGGAAGCGTGTAGGCCAACAGGGTGCAGGAGGACCTTCTTTGACCCAGATGCTTTCGACAAAAACTGTGTAAAAGGAGGCTGCTGCTGAGCGGCCCCAGCAGGCTCACCATGGTGTACTCAACACAGAACGTGATGATCGGTAGGGTGGAATTCCTGAAGCAGTCCTGCAGGTTTAGGTGGAAGGTGTCATGCTCCTTCGACGCTGACCCTCACAGACTGTCAAAGAGTCCATAGCGAAGTAAGCGGTGAGGCCGACTGTGTACCTCACGGGGCAGAAGCATTACACGAGAGCATGTGCCACTTGCCAGGCCTCTGATGCTTATTCTCCTGGTGTTTCCCTGTTGGTGCTACTGCATCTGGGGAAGTCGCATCTTGGCGTTCTCGGAGATGGGCAGCAGACATGCAAGCATGACCTGTGTGGAATGTTTTAGGGCATTGCCACAATGAATCACCAGGATTACAACAGATCAATACTTCTCACGAGGTCTCACGAGTATTCTGCACGAGCAGGGGCTCCGACAGAGACCCTGAGACTGACGACCAAATTGACATATACATTTGCAAGTCCGAAGGCAAGCATGATGACTTTCTCGCTTTGGCACCGGGTTCAGAGCTTGGGGTTTGTTTTATCGCCTATCCCGTTTCTCACCGTCCATCGACGAGTTGATTGCCACAGCGTGGGGTTTAGGATTTGAGCTTCATGTAGGGTGGGCTCGATTCCGGGATTCAACGCTGGCCAGCGTTGCCAAAGCAATGGAGGAAGCAATGATGGAAGCGCCGACGACCGTCTGTCCAGGCACGGCTGACACTTCCTCGCCAAATCAAGCTGTGGATGTTGACAGTTATAGTAGTTGGAAGTGCCATGCGCTATGTCTTAGTGGCGGTGATACCATTGGAAGATCTACCAAATGCTCTGGGATTTCCTCGTCGGCGGACTTAACTCAGGACACTCCTCCTGGAAGCGTGGTGTGCATCTAAATCCTTTCTGGTCTCCTTCAACCATCATCATTGCACTACGTTATGGAAGGTGCTTGTACACCCATACTACCATGAGTTCATCGTACAATTCATAGAATCCTGCACTCCTGCACACAACGGTTCAGAAACCCGTTCTCTCCTTTCATCAAGTCTGCACACGAAGTGAAGCGATAGTCTCACGCCCTTGTCAACACCCAGTCGGCTACAACCATGCTCCTGAAGTGCGATGTTGCGGCTGGCAGCGGCGTTCACAACTGCAAGCAGCCTGCAGTTGGGGACATTGAAGATTATCTTCTGCAAGCGTCCATGTATATATATATATATATATATATGTGTGTGTGTGTGTGTGTACGCATTTATGTGCGCAGGAGTGTACGTACATACGCAGGCAGGCAGGCAGGCAGGCAAGCAGGCAGACAGGCAGGCAGGCAGGCAGGCAGAAATTTGGGCATGTAAGTAAGTAAGTACGTATGTAGGTACGTATGTATGTGTGTACCTGTATGTATGTATGTATGTATGTAGGTAGGTAGGTAGGTAGGTAGGTAGGTAGGTAGGTAGGTAGGTATGTTCGT